GGCTGTTGTTTTCTCGGACGAACAGAGTGTAGGAGTTTTGGATGAAAGTGGGGGCGTTGTCATTGACATCTGATACCATCAGGGTTATGCTGTACTCTGTTTTCAGCCTAGGTGTCCCCAGGTCGCTGACGGTGATGGTAATATTGTACTCAGCTCTTTTCTCTCTATCCAGAGGTCTTTCTGTTACCAGGGTATAGAAATTCTTGAAAATTGGCTTTAGAAGGAATGGCAAGTTATCTGGAATAGAGCAAATCATCTTTCCATTGTCTCCGGAATCTCTATCTCGAATTCGGAAGATAGAAACTACTGTCTCAGGGGCATTTTCTGGGATGGAGCTAGTGATTGAAGATATGGTAAGTTCGGGGGCATTGTCATTCACATCCACCACCTCTATGACTACTGTCCCTTTCCCAGAAAGGCCTCCTCCATCCGTGGCCTCAATTTCCACACGGTAAGATTTAATTTTTTCAAAATCCAATTTCTTTTTCAGTAGGATTTCTCCTGTAACCTCATTTACTGAGAAAGTTTGTTTAATTTCATCTGATGCTTGGAACAAGCCATAGGAAACACTCCCAAAGTTCCCACCATCTACATCCCTAGCTGTGACACTAAAAACTGCAGAATCTACCGGGCAATTTTCCAGGACATGCACCTCATATGGGGTGTGCACAAACTCAGGAGCATTGTCATTGACATCCATGATCAGGATTTGAACCATGACGGTGCCAGACCTTGGTGGTGACCCACCATCCAGTGCTATAAGGGTTAAGCTGAACTCAGCCTGCTCCTCTCGGTCCAAAGCTTTGTCCTGCACCAAATCTGGGTATTTCTTGCCCTCACTATTGTCTCGAGTGAGAATATGAAAATGAGAATTGGGGCTGATTGTGTACTTTTGAAGACCATTAGTACCCACATCCAAATCCTGAGCGAATATCAACGGAAATAGAGTTCCTGGCTGGCTGTTTTCCGGTATTTTCAAGAGCACTTCCTTATCAGAGAATACTGGAGAGTGGTCATTTATGTCCTGGATTGCTAATTCTCCTTGAAAAAACTGTACCGGCATTTCCAGGAGCACTTGGAAATGCAGTACGCACGGTTCAGTAGGACCACATAGCTCTTCCCGGTCTAGTTTCTCCTTCAGAAACAAATCTCCTGTCTGACGATCCAGCTGCAAAGGCTGCTTGTCATCGTCAGACACCACCCGGGCCGACCGAGCAGCCAGTTCCCCAGTTTGAAGGCCCAGATCCTTGATCAGTTGGCCTACAAAGGTGCCACTCTCTGTTTCCTCTGGCACAGAATAACGAATAGGCTCAGGGAGAACCTGAGAAAATAACACCATTAAAATAAATGTCAACACTTGCCTGTTTGGATGAATTCTCTCTAGCTTCTCCATGTTGGAGTTAAGGTGTTTACATCCGATGTCTTCAGCAATCACAAAAAGGCTTGAGACATTCAATTCCAATTTCTTGCTTGGAGGAATAGCCACAAACTTGCTTTAATCTTAAATTCGTTAGTACATCGCTGCTCAAACTCGTTGGTAACCCTGTACTGCTTGCAAAGCTTCTAGCCTGAGTTTTTGATCGCGTCTCTCAACACAAAAGAATACGCGAGCTTTATAGAGTTCTTTATTCACAATCTTAGCCTGCAGCGCCACCCTGTGTCTAGATTGAGAAATTAATGTTTTCGAGTCAAAGCACAATTTGGAAGTTGCCAAATGAAAGCCATTTTTAGAAGAATGGAATTTTTACGAACGTTATTTTTATATGAAATTGCATGACTTACAAGGTTATCCCATTACATTTTATAAACTAGAATAATCCTGAGCACAAATCAAGAAGATATCTCAATTTTCCCACACCCTTATTATTAATGGAACTTCAAAGAACTCCATTTCTCTTTTGAATGATCTAACTGGGGACAGGTAAGTTCTTATAAAATTTCAATTCAATTCATAATACTACATAGTTACATCTTTTTAGATGTTACTAAATGTTAGATGTTCTTAGAATGTAAGACCTTTACTACGATGCAAAAGATTCAGATGTTCTGTACCACATTATAAAGAAAGTGTTGTTCAAATGATAGGTTGGTTCTATTTTCCTACACTGGCATGCAAAATAGTAATATAGGAGCCTCGTTTTGTCCTGTCATTTCAAGTGTGAACTCACATTAAATATAGAAATAAGACAAATAGTATCAGAATCACAGATTTGTAGAACTCGAGAAGTGAAAGAGGAGTTTACAGAAAAGGAAACCGAAGCTCAGAGGATGATAGGATTTGATTATTCAAATTGGCTATTAGGATCTTATCAAGATAAAATTAAAAGAGTAAAAAATCTTAGAATTTTGTTAAGATAAAGACGTTAAAGTGGGCTTACTTACCAGATATATGTAATCTATATTTTATAAGGAGTTTGCTTGTTACCACACTCACCCTTTGTATACTAGGTATCATATTCTTTGATCATCTGATCTGGGGGGAGACAAAAAGCACTGATTTAACACATTTTAATCTGTGAGCAAAAGGTGCCTTAGGTCCTAGGCCTGGTCTACTCATAGGTGATGAAAAGGAGAAGGGTGTATAAAATGGCTTCCAGCACAGAATGTGTAACTGTTGTGACTATCCTGATACAATAGGTAAGAACTGGCACCACTGGACATAGATCATAGACTACAATTAATACATTGACTGGAGTACTACTTACCCTGTCACATATAAAATTTCCTTCCCTTGAATGTCTTATTTCATTTAATTATCTAATTAATTCAATTATGATAATTTATAATTCATATTAGATGAATTATTTTTAAAGAAAAACAATAATACATGTATCAGATGCTGATAGTGATAGAAAGTATTAGTAAAAATTATTTCTGAAAGATGCATAAATTATAGCAGTTATTCAATAAATACCAGTTGAATCAATAAATTAATTTATTCAAATGTGTTTTTACCTATATGGGTAGATTATTGTCAGATCACTATTCACTCATGAACATGTTTGAAATTAAATACAAAATTCTGAGAAATGGGACTATATTACATGGTAAACACTGTTTAATTAAATTTAATTTGATTCTATTTCTATTAATTTCTATAAGTGATATATCAGGGCCACAACAATATTAATATCCTACAATTTTCTTTCACATTTAAAGTAACTTGGAGGAGATAGAATATACATAAACATTAAATGAAATGAAACAAAATTTAAATATACATTAAAAAGAATAAAAAGTTTACACATAAATTGAAAACAAATCTCCTGGGCAAAATAAAGAGAAAATTCTTCCTAACATAGTAGTCAAATTCTAGTTAGATTCAAGTTAAGGAGTTCAGAACTTATTTATTCTTACATGTTAACATATAAAAAGTATTGAGAATCAGCTCTTTTTAGTTCCTTTTGCAATCCAAAAGCAAATGGAATCTAAATTTAACATATATGTAACATTAGATGCCAGATATTATTCTAAGCATTTTACGTGCATTAACTCATTTTATCCCCCCCCATGACCCTCCAAGTTAGTGACATAAAGAATGATCACCTCAAAAAACATTTATTCCTAGTCACCAGAGGTGTATCACTTATTTTGAAGGATTCATGCAACTATTTACAATAATTGGTTGCCAGACCTGAAGCACAATATAATATTTATTTTTTTCATTTTATACATGAATAAATTGAGGCACAGAAAGTTTAAATAACCTGTCCAAAGTCACATGCCATGTGAAATAGCAGAGCCAGGATTTGAACTGTTACAGTGAGGCCCAAAAAACCATTCTTTTGAGTGTCTAAGTAGAACTGGAGAGCTGCACAACTTTTTAAATAATGTGAAACCAAGCTTCAGCCTTGCCTTAAGTACTTTGATATAATAGCTTAAATATGCAATATTTGTTTGTTTGAAGCACCAGGCTAGGGTGCAGTGAGTTAAGATGATAACCACTGCAACCTCAAACCCCTTAAGCAATCTTCCTGCCTCACCCTCCCAAGTAAGTAGCTGGGGTATAGGCTAATGGCACCAAGCTCAGCCAAAGTTTTCAGTTATTGTTAGAACTTTTGAAACGCTTTCTCTCCCTTTAGAGATGGTTACCAGCAAAGAGATAAATTTATACAACTTAGAAACTAGAAAGAAAACTAATACTCAACATTTTTGTATAGATCATTAATTAGGCAAAAAAAGTTGAGAGTGACATATAATTACTCCAGTCTTAAATACAGAGAAAAAATATCTATGTGTAGACCTTTTGAAATGTTGCTATTTTCTGATAAGGGGTTTCAAGTTATAATTAAGAGGGTCTGGAAGAATAGTGTAGCATATTATGCCATAGATTATTCCCTTAAACTGCCAAATTTGTCAGAAAAAACATCTATTATAACTTCATGGTAAAGGAACTAATGATAGAAAGAATAATCACCTAAAAACCATTTATTCCTAGTCAAGGATGGTGTATTATTTATTGTGAATGATTCATTTGACTATTTATATAACTGGTTGCCAGGCATGAATGAAGTAAAATATATTTAATTCTTTCATTTTAAATATACAAAATAAATAGGATAGTTAAATAAATACTCAAGAAATTAAATAGCAGTTTTAATTCCTCCTTAGTAAAATATAGGAAAAACTTTAAATATTATTGAAGGAAAGATACAAGTCATTTTAAAGAAATTTGGTATTTGGGAGGTTGAGGCAAGAGAATATCTTGAGCCTAAGAATTTAAGACCATCCTAGGCAACATAGCAAGACCCTGTCTCTAAAAAGAAAAAGAAAAAAAGAAATTGGAATACAAGTAGTCCTAAAGTGAAAAATATTAAGTTCATACCTTTAAATTTTGAGTACTCTTTTTCAAAAATAAAGAGTATTTTTTTAACATCATGATGACTGAAGTATTGTTTTGTTCTTAACTTGAAGGGGGAAAGTGGAGGGATACTAAACATTAATTATTGAGAGAAAGAAAGATAAATTAGTCAAATAGGTATTAGATTTTAGCTAGTATCTTTATTTCCTTCAGTCATATTTCTAATGGCATTATTTCAAAATGTTAAGCTAACAGTAATAAATGGCTAATATTAATTTTGTGGATTTTATTAGAAATTCTTGTTAAAGGAATGATCTTCTGAAATATTTTATTAGATAGATAAATTAGATACATCAGTTGGCCATTTGAATGAAATAGTTATAAAGCAAACAATAGTGCTCATTAGTGAAAGAAAATTGAATTTTAATACCAGCCAACCTCCCAAACTTAAATCTATAAAATAGTTTTCAAAATCACACTCACTGAATGTAAATGTCAACAAGAGATTAATTAAAGTTTGACCTGAGAATTTCATGGTGGAATTTCAATAATTTCTAATAATTCCTTCTGGTACATACTACATGTTTAATGTATCAAATTATCCAAATATTTAATGTCTAACTTAGAATAGAATACATTTTTAAAATAAAAAAGTGTGAGTCCTTTAACTTTGTTCTTTTATTTTTAAGATTGATTTATCCATTCTGGGTTCTTTCCATTTTCTTAGAAATATAAGGGCCAGTTTGCCAAGCCAACGAGAATTTTAATAGGGATTGCAATGAATCTGAATGTCAATTTGGGGGGATACCACTAATTTAACAATCTTAGATCTAATCCAGAAACACTTTCCATTTCCTGACACTTTCTTTTGGTAATGTTTTATATTGTTTGGTGTAAAAATTGATCTTGTATCCTGCAACCTTGCTGAACTCATTTATTAATGTTGGTAATTTTTTTGTGAATTCCTTAGGATTTTCTGTATACAAAATAATGTCACCTACAAATATAGATAAATTTATTTCTTTATTTTCCAATATGAATGATTTTTTTTCCTTGCCTAATTGCCCTGGCTAGAGCCTCCAACATAATATTAAATACAAGCAATAATAGCAGATATCCTTGTTTTGTTCCTGATCTGAAGGAAAAAGCTTTTGGGTTTTCCCTATTATGAAGTTAGCTATGGGGTTTTATGTACCTGCTTTTTATGAGGCTGAGAACATTGCAAATTATTCCTAATTTGTTGAGTGTTTTTATCATGAAAAGATATTGGATTTTATAAAATGATTTTCTGCATTTATTGAGTCCTTTATCCTTTTAATAAGGTGTATTGCATTGATTGATTTTCATATGTTGAACCAATCTTGCATGCCTGAGATAAATCCCACTTGGTCATGATGCACAATCTTTTTCATACGTTGTTGAAGTCCTTTGCTAATATTCTGTTAAGGAATTTTGCATCTACATTCATAAGGAAAATTGGTATATATATTTCTTTCCTCATGTTATTTTTTTCTGGTTTT